CCTTTCGTATCCCTCTACGGGCCATGCATTGAGTAGCTGCGATAAGTCCGCCCAACCGTCGTACTCGTCATACGAAGTAACCTCGCGAATGAATATGTCTGACAAGCGACCGTGGTGAAATGGTTTGTGACGGAGGGCTGTTGTTAGCCACTCAAACGCCTGACGTTGGTCTTCGTATCTGAACCTCGACCTGCGAACATTGTCCGAACTGAGGGTGTTCTCCAAATACTCCTTTTCTGGATCCAACGTGAGTGCAGGGCGCTTCCGCAGGATGTTGCGCACTACTTGGCGTATACGTGCATCAGAGTGGACAGCAGTGTCCATGATGTTGCATTGCACCACCATGCATCGATCAGATCCATCATCAATTCGAGGATGATACGCTGGATTGATCTTCATGCGGTTGCCAGTGCGCAGCCTGTCCCCGTATTCCTCACATTCCGGTGGGACCTCCAGCGCAGGGGCAGGTTGCCCCGCTGGACTGCGAGCAGGCTGCCCCGCAGAACTCCGAGCAGGTTGCCCCGCATAATGTGGGGCAGCCTTTGGCGCTGGCGCTGCAGACGCTGCTGCGCTCGCCGCCGATGTGGCAGCACCAATAGATCCTCTAGGCGTCCTTGGAGTTCCTTGCGGGTTACTGATATCGAAGTCCTGGTACTTATTCTCCTTGGTATCGCATGACTCGGCAGCCTTGTCCCTGGGCACTGCTCCTGGCACCTTTGGTGTAGTAACAATGAGCTTCTCAGTATGCTGCGTGGAAGAAGCGCCCCTTGTTCTTGCTTCCAAATTAGGCACCCATCCTGTCCTGTGCGTCCGCCCTGGTGTAGGGCCATGGCGCGGCGCAGGCTCTTTTCTGGTAGGCGTACTGGCGCCCTGGAATATAGCTGCTGCGGCGGCTACTGCTGGTCCTCTAGATCGTTGTCGATCAGCACGTTGCTCAGCAGGTTGCCCCGCATATCTCTTGCTGTCAGCAGGAGTAGGATCATCTGGACTCATCCGCTTCTTCTTCTTGGGCTTAGGATGATCAGGATCAAGAGATGGACTTCATGAACCAGAATCCGAATCAGAAGACAAGGGAAAGCCGATCGTTTCTGGCTTCGGCTCGGGCGCTGTCTCTGCCGTAGATCCTGCCGGCGCCCCAAGTGCATACCGCCTAAAAAGCTTCATGTGACCTCAGTCTGGATTCAGATCGTCACCACCTGGCCTCCTGAGAGCCATATTCTTTATAAGTACTTTTTTTCCCTGCAAGTGCGTACTTATCTGCATCGCGCCTTTCGGCTATGTATGCAATGATCCAGCCCACACCTGGAGCACGGTAAGCAATCCGCCTGCCAGGAGAGAACTCCATGTCTCTGGTGACAGCGTAATCGGGTTTGATCGGAGTATCAGTTTCACACGTAATGTCCGTGATACCCGAATCACTTGACTCACCGTCGTCAAGGGCAGCTTCCGTAGGATCAATTTCTTCAGCCATTTCAGCATCTTCATCCTCATCAGCTTCTCATTGGCTCTCTTCTTCTGGTTTATGATCGGCAGGTTTCCCTGCATGCCACTCGCGACTGTACCGCGCCAGATAGTGAGTAGGCGCCAAGTTCTGCCAAATGGCCTCTGTCTGAGTTATCTCTGCACTAGTGGCAGGGGCGTAGTCCTCTTCCGTCAGCCGCTCATGCTATGGCGTTTTGTTGGGGTCAGTGCAGCGACCCCGCCCATCTCCATGAGACCCAACCCACGGTGTTCTTTTGAAATTGGGACTCCGCGATGGGCGTCTCATGGGACAGCCCAGCCTGTGATCAGCATAGCTGGGACATGTACAACAAACGCCTCTATAGAGCTTTCGATCCTCAACGATGGCCCTTTTATGATCACGCACGACCATCTTTTCCTGCGATTTAGCCGGTCCCTTCTATCAACGAATGATATTGCCATCATCATCTCGTTTGGCCTGACGAAGAGAATACCAGTGTCGGATTTGATGTTCGTTCCAACCTCTGTTCAAACAGTAGTCCATCTGCTCTGCAGGTATGTACTGACGATCCAATCCAGGTTGGTTCCCGCCTCTTAGACGCTGCACTTGACCTTCTGGGTACTCTTCTCCTCGATGTTGATCATATTGAGGCGGGCTCCCCCGCAGACGTTCCTTCCCTGGGGGAGTATACGATCTTGTCGCCTGCCTTGGCGGGCCACTTGAGGTTCCCGCCTCAGGAGGATGAGGGCGCTGAACACCGCTCGAACGAGCGCCGCTGGAGCGGGCTCGCGCTCGATCTGGTGAGGGACTGGGAGCTCGACCGCGACGTACCATACGGTCATCATCTCCCTGTTCGTCTTCGTCGTCCATTGGTGAAAGACTTGGATCGTCATGCTATTTCTTCTTCATTATCAGGGGTAGGCGACTTGGCGTTCACCTCGGACCGCTAGCGGACCGATTTGACGCAACGAGGGTATACTGAAATTCTTCATTATGCCCAAGCTCATATTGAAATCGTTCAGATAAGTCACCAACGTCGCGCGGGCTTCCACGCAGTGGATCATCATCGATCGATTCCGTGTTTATCGGATTTCCAATTACCCGAAGATTAAGCATTGCATATACTTCTTCACCTGTTGCAGGAATGGTAGAACCTGAGTCAGCGGGTGTCCCCGCCGTACCAAAATCACCTTCGACGGGCATATTGAAGTTCTCGACAAACTCAATATCTGCAGGTTGCCCCGCGATGGGTACACCCAGCCAGTCTGCCAGGTCGATGTCGTTGTGGCCAGTGAACACCTCCTCGAACAGCTCGTCGGCGTAATTCTCGAGGGTCATGCTGGCACTTAGATACCTGGCAGCCATGAAATGAATAACTGTGGCTGAGCTGTCGGCAGGGCCGGTCAAAAGTGACCCCCAATCAACATGCTGTATGTCAGGGTCCGTTCGAGCCAGATGTATTGACGGACCCCTGCCTCTTCCATCACATTGGGGGCATTCGCGTCGGAAATGCTGTGTACTGTGACATATGTCGCACTCCATGGTTTTACCGTTGGCATCGTTTGGGTTTCCACGTCGTCCTTTACCTTTACCTGATGTATGCCTACGGCTTCTGCCAGCACCTAGAAACATGTCGTCGTACTGGGGCCCAGTAAGAGACGCTAGGAATGCTAGTATGCGTCTACCATGTACTCGCCGACGCTTACCTTTGCCTTTACTTCGACCTTCGCCTTTTCCTTTAAGTGTCCACCGTACCATACGTCTTACGTTTCTGACTGGCTTCTTCATGAACCTCCGCCAACGACGCCTGTGTTTTTCATAACCCAAAAATAACCATTGAGCTTGCTGCTCTTCGGTAAGGTATGTAGACATTTCAGAGTAATCCAAAGCGGTAGCTTCATCATCGGAAGACGTATCAGTATCGGTGCCGGAGTCGAAGTCGGACTCGGCGGGTTGGAAGTCCCCTAGGTCTGGCCCAGGGGTCTTGCGACCCCGAGGCCGGTCCGCCATTCTGAGCCAACAGTGTAGTGGTCTCAGTTGGCAGAATGTCGTCGTTCCAGACGTTGCTAGCAGGTTGTCCTGCGTTGGCCTCTGCGTGGAAAGTCTCGGTTCGGTGACCGCGACTAAAGATACCACCCATATTTCCAGGGGTCCTCTCAGCTATGTGAGCATAAGACCTGATACGTTCGAGTAGAGCGTCGAATTGTGCTTGGTCCCTCGGCATGGGGTGGTTCAGAGGCTGCAACCCGCGACGCCCCCACTCCCAGAGCTCTGAATAGTATTACTGAAACTATCCGAGGTTAGGGATGTTGAAGCCGGCGGTTTCGGCTTCGTAACGGGCTGTCTCGAACCGTGCTAACGTCTGGGCGATTCGTTCTCCCGCATGGACACGAAGTCCATGAGTGCCGTGCCAGAGTTGAGTTGACGTTTCTCTCCAAAGGTTCTCGAACTTCGTACTTAAGAGGAACAAAATGTAGGTGGCGCCGTCAGTGTGGCGACCGCCTATATTGACGCGAAAATTGATGACTGCTGGGGGGACTCTCATGGCGGTCCGTGCGAGCCCTCCAAAACCGCGCTGCAGTGCGGCGGCCTGCTGGGAGGGCGTCACGTTGCCTGTGGCCACATTGATCCAGGCGCGCACCTCGCGGACAAACTCGCGAAATGGTATTTGACTGGCAGGATCCCAGCGGGGGCCAGTCGTTCTAGTGTCGTCTCCGCCTCGCATATGTCCTACTGCACACCCAAGAGCGACCCATATGAACCCAAAGATAGTAACCCCAATCCAATGGCCTCGTAGGTCGTAGTCGGATGTAGTCGGTGGTGACTCATGTCGTGTCGTCGTAAGTCTGCGTGGGGTCGGAGGCGGCAGTATACTGCATCGCACATTTCCATGCATTATGCCTTCGAAGAAATTCCCCATTGGAGTAGGTGGGTGGGCTTCAGGAGTGTAATAGCGCAGGGATGTAGGATACGAGTAAGAGACCTCCGCTGGAGCAGAGGTGTCACTGCAAGCCTCCTTGCGGTACTGCCTAGATATATACATTCCTCCGCGCAATGCCGCTGCACCCTGATGTTCCACCGTATCCGTAGTCCACCAGATAGTGCCGTGGATGGTAAGGAGTAGAGCTAGAGCTGACCACCATAGGCCAGCTCCGCTACCAAGTTTGAAGGGGGCTGGAAGGCCCAGCCAACAGCTTCGCCTCAGGCGAAGCCAAGCTCCAGCTCTGTTGCATCGTAGTAAGGAAAAGTCCCAATGCGAGAGGAGAAGCCATCTCAAGCAATAGGAAGATCCTTTTGGTCTCGATAGCGATAGTGCGCCTCGCGGTGAGGCACAATCAAATCTGGGCGGCCGGCCGCTTGAGCCAACGCGGCCGCGGGCGCACGCTCGCTTCCACTCCTTACGTCCCCCAGCTCGCTTTAGAGTGGGTGAGCCTCTTCTCCAAGAGGGCCCCTGCCTCCGGGTGCCCGCGCAGAGCAAGCACACGGGCCGAACGTGAAATGATTTGCTCCTGTCACCCCCCTCGAACCACGAGTCGGGCTACCAACCCCTAGGCATCTCAACCCACGTCTCGATCCCGCCGTCAACATTGATGCGAGCCTGGATGTAGGCTGACAACGCGTCTCGAATCGAAATGCTGAGGCACTCCAGGATAGCCACCGCCAGGGTGCACCGAATGGCGACGAATAATACTGGGCCTTTGCTCACCTGCTCGTACACGTTCACCGCCTCCGTTCCTGTGGCCTTAGTCCTGCTGTTCGATCCCTGGAAACAACACGACATTTGACCCCCCTGTCCTCCTCGCGCTCAGCCTCGGCGCCGGTATCGCCCAAGATCCCGAAAACGCGGCCCCCCTTATGACCTCGGCCTTTGAGCTGTCTCGCATGAGGTCCTTGTATTCCCTCACCGTGGACTAGGCCCAAGTTCTCTGGGTCCGGTGCCAAGAGAGCTCCTCGTCTATGGCAGCCCGTGCCTTGGCCGACTTTGCATCCTCCGACTTCAACGGGCCCTTCTGGGCGACGAACACGGACCGCCTGGGCGTCTGCCTGCCGACGTCGCGCTGCGCAGCGTCGTCGCGGTCGGCGCGGCCCCAGGCGATGGGCAAGATGGCCATCCAAATCAGACGAGCGAGCTCCTGGGTGCATACCCCATCGGAGGTCCGCGCTCTCGCCGCGACAGCCCCGTCGATCGATTCACGCGGCACCTCCGGCAACTGGGCGCGCGGCTCTAGAAACTTGAGAAGCCCCGTGTTGTTGGCGACAACGCGCAGGGAGTCCTCGGCGCCCTGGCTTTCGACGGTAGACGTGCAGAGGCTAACCATCGAGACGCCACGGTGACCTGATCCAGCGTACTCCAGCAGCTGCTGCACCTCGCTGCGCAACTACACGGAGGGCGCCAGCGGCCACCCCCAAGAAATGCAGCCCCCCTGCTTCACGACGCGACGACACAGGCCAGCAGCGACTCCGACTGGGCGGTCCGGGAGCTCGCCCGGCGCACGCACAGCGCTGACCCACGCGCGCAGCGGAACGCAAAGCTGACTGCAAGCCCGGACGACGCCGCGCAGCGCCCAGCTGTCTTCTTCCTGCACAGCTCGTCGCCCTCCGTGACTTTGACGGTCAGACCGCGCTGCGGCATGGGCTCCACGATCTTCGATCCACGTCCGTGGAGATATCCACCACGACAACCTTGCACTGCCCGCTCTGGATCTTCGCTCGAAGAGTTCGCATAACGTCGCCCTGGAATCCAGACTGGCTCAGGCGAGTAGCCATCGCCCCGGCCGTCGCAGCAGCAGGACCACCCTGCACGCGCGCGGCCTCGACCTCAGGCCTCGCGCTCGGCCGACCCCTGCCCGCGTGAATGAGCTGAGCTGCAACCGGTACTTCCGCAGTCGGGGGTCAGCGAGCGCCCTCGCTTCCGGCGCCCACGGCTACTGCCTGGAGGCCCCGACCGGTCCGCTCGGCATGTCCACGCGCCGCCGCCCGAGCACCTTGAGCAGCGAAGCCCCCGAGATCCTTCTCCCCCCACTCCTGGCGCAACTTCCCCTGGTAAGATTTCTTGGACATCATGCCTCGGGGAGGACCGCGGGCGGCCTCCGGCTCCAGGGCGGAACAAAATCGCCCCGGCGCGATGGCCGTGCGGGAAGGAGTCAATCCCCCAGCCTTTGGGCGCACGATTCCCCTCGACCTCCACCTCCGCGGGGCCGAGCTCGGCAGGCTCGTCCTCAGGCTCGCGTTCAGTGGCCGCCTGCTCGCTGCCGTTTTTCTCGACCGCATCCTCCTCCTCTGGCCGCGGGTCGCCCGCCGCCGGCGAATCCTCGGGGTCCAGCACGACGGTCTCGACGCAGTCGCCGGGCTCCAGCTTCGGGGCGATCTCCTCCGCGGCCCCGTCGTAGGCCTCGTCGCCCGGCTTCTCGCTTCCCTCGGACAGCTGCAACGCCCGCGACTCGCCGTCGTCAGTCACCGCTGGCACTGGGAAGCTCGCATCCTTGAATGCTCCCGCGAGCTCGAGGCGCTGGCGGATGGGGAATACGACGCAGCCTGGGAAGTAGACCTCCACGGAGTACCTGAGGCCTGCTTAGGACGGCCGGTGTCTGTTGAGGAGGCGCTCCAGCTTGGCGACGCCGCGCGCCCGGTTCCACGCGAGACCTGGCCCGCAACCGATGCTGACTAGCACATGCGGCACCATCCCAGAGCTCCACATCGAAGGTTTGGCGCCGCCGCGCCTAGCAGCAGCGACGAATGCCAGCGCCCCGAATGGGCACTGCTCGTACCCGGCGGAAGTCCTGCAGCGGCGCTCGCACGGAGTAAACCCGTCTGCCCCCCTGCAGTGGCCCTTGCACTGCATGCAGCACTAGCAGATCGCACATACCCACCACGACGCTGGAAAGGCGGCCATGCGGAGCACAGCCCAGGCCCCCTCGACTACCGTGCGGTTAACCGCTCGATGGCCTCGTTGCACTGCGGCGCACGCGGAATGCTCTGGCAGCGCGCGAAGGCCCGCATTCTGCGGACCTTGCGGCTCGCAGCCCCAAGCTCGGGAGCAGCGTCGCTCAGCCAGCGGCTGATCTCACGCGCTGCGTTGTCGAAGGCGTTGTGGGCCTCGACAATGGCGTCGGCGCCCCCCTGGAGCTCGTCGGAAAGACTCTGGCGAACTTCGCACGCTCGTCAAACATGTTCAAGCAGTACTTCGCCGAGCGAGCGGCCGCCGAGCCTGGCTGCATGACGACGCGGCCCATGTGCACGCACGCGCCGGACGGCTTCTCGCCCGCGCCGGCGCAGCGAACGCGCATGCCGCTGACTGGGCGTCGCCGCGAAGGCCACTTGGCGCGTTTGCCTCCCCGGCACCTGGGGCCGTGCTTGGGCATGGCCGGCTGGCGCAACGAAAGGTGCTCCTTCGTGAGGCGCGACGTGTCGCAGGGCAGCTCGATGTCGCAGACGGAGCCCTCAAGCTGGATCCGGTGGAAAATCTTTTCGTCCTGCATCAGGTCGCCGTAACCATTTTGGCTCGAGATCTTCCCCAGATCTTCGCGGCCGGATGTCGCGGGGCGCCCCCGGTCGTCCCGGCGGGGCGGGTGCGGCGCGCCGGCCATGGGCCGTCGGCGTCTCCACCCCTTGGCGTTCCTCTTGGGGGGCGTTGCCTGTCGGCGCGCTCCCCAAGCGCGTCGGGAGGGAGCGCCGTCCGGAGCTGCGCCTAGAAATCACTGCTTGCAGGTGGCAGTAGCAGGGTATTGCAAAAGGAAAGGGCATGTGCATGCGGTTGTTCTCTGTGCTTACGCAGTCCCTCCTGGCCTCCCATCTTCCTGCTATTTCCGCGCCCCCCCCCGCCAGTGTACTCATGTTTGTGCTGTCTTGTGTGTCGTGGGGCCCCGTGAAATCGGTTCACGTCGTTGCGGGGTGGCTGGTGTCTTGTCGCTTGCGCCAACCGCGCGGGCGTGAAATGTAGCGGAAGGCTCGTCCGAGCAAGCGCTTCATGTTTGTTATGCTTACAGGCGCGGTTGCTGCCCCACGTTCACCAGAAAACCCACGCGGCGTTCACCAGAACACCCACCTGCCACCCGAAACCCTGTGACCAGATTCCCCCCGAGAATATGGTCGCGAACTTCTTCCCTGCACCGCCCGACGACGACGACGATGAATGGCAATCGCGGCTGGTTGTTGCGGGGGGTGGGGAGGGGGGCCAATCGGGCCCGATCTGCGACGCGCCTCCCTCGCCCAATCGTTCCCCGCAGTCATAATCCATCATCGCGAGCAGCATCGCGGTTATCATCACCGCCAGCCACTGCATCTGCATTACGCCACACTCATAGTTTCCCAACGCACCTTCATGGGTACACTTAATACCTTGTATCGCCGAAGCGAACGCACAGTCGTCATCACCGCCATCGCCATCAGCATCGTCATCATCGCCGTCACCATGGTTCATCATCGTCACCATCATCACCAGCATCATCGTCATCACCATGATCATCGCCGTCCTCATCATCATCATCACCGCCATCACCATGCTCATCATCATGACCATCGTCCACGTCACCACCAAGATCATCATCACCAGCATCATCACCATGGCCGCCATCGTCATCACCATCATCATCATCGTCATCACCACCATCATCGTCATCATGGTCACCACAATGATCATCACCATCCTCATCGTCATCACCGTCATCACCATGCTCATCATCAAGATCATCGTCATCGTCATCACCACGATCATCATCACAACCAGCATTATCACCTTGGTCGCCTCGCCATCACCACCATCATCATCGTCATCAAAATGATCATCAACACCATCATCGTCATCATCGTCACCACCATGATCATCATCGTGCCGTCACCATCTTCATCGCCTGATAATCGTAGTGGCCACCATCACCATCGTCATCATCACCCTACCGCCATCATCGTCGTCATCATCACCATCACGATCGTCACTCAGTGCCATCATCGTCATCATCGACATCGTCATCGTCGTCATCGTCACCACCACCACCATCGATATCTTGATTGTGATCGTCATTCGCATCGCCCAAATCAGCATCACCATTATCGCTATCACCGCAACCACCGAGAGCACCGCATTATTCGAAGCATCCCCTACAATCACGATTTTCGAACATCGCCAACGACGAACACGAAATTCCGCAACGACGAAACGAAATTCGGTAGCGACAACATGTCGAAAATCGGTGGCGCTGAAATCAATTTCGGTAACGCACTACGGGATTTCATGTCCACGAATCCCCGGATCCCAATGTTTGTTGCGATGCCCCGATACCGGGTCTTGTAAGTGAAATCCGGGATTTCGGTAACGACCGGATTTTGTAAACCAAATCAGAAATTTTCGGTGACAGATGATCTGGGCACCCATGTTTCCGGAACCTGCATTGACCTAGTGGTGGGGGCCGTGGGCAGCACCGTGCCAGTCAGAGTCATGCCAGACTTAATCGGCGGGTCCAATCATAAAATGGCCGTGGCGCGCGTGCCCCGTGCACATTCTGCTCCTCTGCCCCTGGGATTCGGCTGCGTTTTCCGGGCGTCGGGTGCGGAGTGGGAGGGCGGGCTGTCCGAGGTGGCCTGCCTGCTGGACCACCTCGCAGACCTGGCTGATAGCGCAGCTGGGGCCCTGGCGCTCAAGCCAGCCTGGTTCGGGGGGGGGGGGGAGCGTAGAGCCGTGGTTGACGTTGCAGCGTGGGCGAGGGGCGCGGTCTATACCTTGACCGGCCACGCCGCGCGGGCGACGAAAGCGCTCCGAAGGCCGACAGGCAGCCGGCCGGCGAGTCGCGCCCCGCTGAACCCTGCTCTGTTTTCGGACCACATGGCGTGCAAACATGCGGTGGACATGGCCCTGTGGGGAACGCGCCGACACGCAGTGTCGCGATGCGTGCAGCTGCGGTCGGTCTCCCATGGGGCAGCTGAGCGTTGTCTCTCGGGCCATTTTAATGGCGCTTCCCGCTTCGCCATCCAGCTAGTAGACTCCTTTTCGGCGACCAGCCTAACGCCATCTGAAATTGTCGCCGCCGCAGTGCGGGACCTAGAAGGCCGCGCCCATAATGATTTTCCTGGGGACACCGCTGAGGCAGCGGCCCTCAGCAGGACGGCGGCCGAGATTCGCCGCAGTGGGGCCCGCCTTCTTTCTGCCGCCGCGCCGTCCGCGCCGGGCACCTACACGCCCGAGGAGGTCGATCGGACGACCACCTTGTTGAAACGACATAAGAGCACGGTCCGTGGCACGAATGCAGCGGCGCTGGCCGAGGTCCCTGCGGGTCGCCGGCTCACGCGCGCCCTGATGAATTGGCATCGGGCCCTATGTGTGACCGCCGGGCTGTGGTCATTGCGCCAGTTTTCCCCCATTCGCAAATCGGGCCCCCGCGTGGTCCGCTGCACCTCGTGCCTGCGGCCGATATCTGTCGCGTGCGACTTGGCGTCTGCGCAGGACGCGCTGTGGAATCTCCGCAACGCGGCGGCGCTTGAAGCGCACGCGGGCCCCATCCTTCGCGTTTGGCTGCGGCCCTGCACAGGGCCGACGCCTGTCGGTGCGGCATTTAATGCACAATTCCGTTGGCTAGCCGACGAGGTCGAGACTGTCCTGGTCCGCGGCTGCTCAACGACTGTTCCACCCTTCGCCCGTCTGCCTTATCTCGAGGCGCTGGAGCCGTCTCCTCCCGCGGCGGTCCACCCCCCCCCCGCGGGGGGATCTCCCGGTGGCGGACCTTGCACGGGAGGCGGCGCGCATAGCGGGGGCGGAGCTTGCCCCGCACCCGCACGCGCGGCGGTTCGTGCGCTCCGTCCTCCAGGAGTTGCCGTCGCTGGCGGACCGAGAGGCCGCGGTGGAGCGCTCAGGTTCCCCTCAATTCGTCGACGCCCTTACCGCCCCTCGCCCCTCGGAGGGCGCAGTTCGGGGTGCATTCGGGGGCGAACCGTCTGCGGCGTGCAATAGGTACGCGCGCCGGGTCAAAGCGCGCATGAATTACGGGCCGGGCAAGTCTTGCGCCCCGCCGCTTTTGGGCGCCCCCCTCCGGGCGCCGCCCTCTGCCCAGCGGTACAATCCAAGAGGTTCCTTGGCGCCCTGGTTGATGCCAGGCCCACCTTCTTACCGTTGCTGCGCGAATGCGCGGCGCGTGGCCGCGGCCTGTTTGACCAGATCTTGGCAGCTGCCCTGGCGGGCGGGTTGTCGATTCCAGTGGCCGCGGCGCCAGTCCACCCGCGAGTCGAATCGGCGATTCTTCATCCGCGCCCGCTCCTGGCGGGCGTGCCCGGAGCCGAATCGGCCTCTAACAGGCTCCAAGGCGCGTGGGCGAGGAAGTTGCTGGGGTGTCACGGCGGCCCGCCGATGCGCCAAGTGTCCTGGTGGCGCAGTGCGGCTGGCCCCTGCGCCTGGGGTCGCGTGTCATTGAGCAGGCCCTCATGGCTCGCGCTCGGCTTGATGCGCCCCCGGCGGGCCACCCAGCTTCCATCGTGGGTGAGGCTGCTGCAACACTGCCGGTGCGCTCCTGGCTGACGGACGCTGCAGCCTCAGCTCTCGCGCCCCCCTCCCCCCTCTGCCCATCACGGTGCACCCTGGCTTTGCGGGGGCCCCGCAACTCGCGGCGAGGAGTTGCCCCGCCGCTCGACGCGCCCTCCTGCAGGCGCACAAGTGGAAGGTCCTGCGCCCGGCGGTACTTGAAAATGACAGTGCTGCCTTCCAGAAGGCCGCCACGCCGCCTCTCCCTTCTCTCGGCTTCTCCTTCGAGGCTGTTTGCCCTGCTCCCGCGCGGCCACTGCTGGACCTGCTGCAGATGAGCGAGGCCCTGCGCTTTGGACCGACCTTCGCGCTTGGGCGGTCCTCCGCATGAGCGGCGCCTGGCCCTTCCCAGTGTTTGGTGGCCGGGAGCTCCCGTAAGCCGTGCCCTCATGCCCACGGCGCAGTGAGCCCCAGGCCTCGGTCAGGCACGCTTTGGTGGAGTGCCCAGGAACAGTGGACGCAGTCAATGCCCTGAGGCGGTCTGCACCCGTGCCCCCGCGGGAGGCCCCGGACTTTTTCCTCCGGTGTATCTTTGCCGAGGGGGCAGTGGTAGTCGACCGTGCAGCGCGCCTAGCTTACGTCGGCAGTATCGTCCGCCCCGCCTGCGCGCGCGTCGACCTCGAGTCGGGCCAGTTTCAGCCTGGAGAAGGGGGCGCCCGTGCGGACTAGCTGTCTCGCGGCGGCTGCGTCGCCCGCGCCCCGGGCACGCCCGGGGGGCGGGGGGGGCAGCGGTCACATCCGTGATACCAGCGACGGCGCTGGGCGTGCGCGGGGACGAGTTCAAGGTTGAGTCCAAGGAGGCTGGGGACCAGGCAGGCAGCCCACCTTGTTCTTGCGTCGTGCCAAGCGCGCCCCCCCTGCGACTTGCGGACGCGGCGGGGGGCAGACAGGGGCGTGAGAGACCACTACTTGTGCTGCGCCAGCCGCATGCCCTGGGGCCTGCCAACTGAGCTGGCAGCGTTAGGAAGCGGCACGCAAGGGGCCCAGGCGTCGGCCGCGGGCGGCCGCGCGGGAACCTGGACGCCCCCTACGTATGAAACAATTTCATTCCCCAAACAGCTTGCTGAACGGGGTGCTGTTGTG